CTGAGGTGCGTGGTATCTCTTTGCAGAAATACCCACCCCGCAAGGACTTTGTGAGGGCCGTGTCCCTGCAGACAGGTTACCTGATCAAGGCAAATGGTGCTGGTGCCTGCGTCCTCTACTATCTCACCCAGGTGGACCCTCGCGGTGAGTGCCAGCAGGAGCAGCAGATACAGCATGCTTCCTCGGGAATGGGTCCCATTGTACACGCTGAGCTCACCACCGTGGCTTTCCATCACCCAGAGGCCCAAGTGCACTGGGAAGTAGGGGCTACCCAGGGAAGAAGGAGGTCCCCCCCCAGAGCACAGCGTGGGGCAGGTGCCATCAGCCTTGGGGGTGCTCAGTCTAGCTCAGGGTACAGCAGGCTCGTGATGCCTCTCTATGGGTTCCAAACTGGCTTAGTGACGGGGCTTTGGGCTCTTGCAGGGTCGCTGCCAAAGTGGGTGGTGAACCGCGTCTCCCAGTTTGTGGCACCAAAGGTAAGCAGGGTGCATGGTCAGTGATGGGATGTGTGGGCATCAGGGGTGGGCTGCCCCAAAGTAACCCCCTAGACAGGGGCAGGATGGGTGCTGGGTGGACCCACAGCTCACCAGGACATGCAGTGGGCATGCTGCTGAGGCTGTATAGGCCAAGTCAGGCCCCCATCCACCCCCATCCCCCCCCAAAAAGCAAGCAGTGGAGGAGCTGGGAGCTGTGCCCACAGACCAGGGTGGCTCCCATCCCCACTGGAGGGGGACAAGGGGCCCTGGGGCACTGTGACAGGCTGGACCTGCTTTACCTGCAGGCAATGAAGAAGATCTACAAGGCTGGACTGAAGTACCCAGAGTGGAAACGTAAACACGATCCCGGGTACAAGCCCTGGGTGTACCCGGAGCAGAACACACTGCCCAGCATCAGCCTGGCCGAGCTCTCAGTGCAGCACGCCGACTCGCTGGAGAACATCGACGAGACGGGGCTGCCCGAGGACCACCTGAGCACCAGTGACCACGAGGCCTGACCCCTTGCTACAGCCCTCTTGCAGGAGGCCCCCCTTGTGACTGGGGCTTGGCAGCCATGGGGCACAGATGGGAATTTGGCCCTCTGCACCCCAATAGTCACATCTGTTCTCCAAGTCCTTCATCATAGACCCCCCCTACCTGGGCATCAGGGTACTGTCCCATGGGAACCTGCAGCACGGGTTCTAGAAAGAGGGAGGACGGGCACCCTGGTCCCCCCTGCACTTATGGTGGTCCATGGAGATGTCCACACACACATGAGGTTGGGTTGGCAGTAGGAGGGGGTGCCCCGAGGAGAGGCTGGGTAGGCCGAGAGAGAGAGCCCTTCATGGGGAGGGTGGGAGCTTTCCTGACACCAGGATATCCCTTTGCTGCTGTAAGACCTTCTAGGGGTGTCCCTCAAAGGTCCAGAAGTTGGGGGTCTATGGGGGTCCTACCCAGGCTTTGCAGCAGGACAGACCTTGGACTGACCTTCTCTGGCTTGAGATCCAGCTCTACCAGCCCCACAGTCAAGCTGGACCCACTCCAGCCCACCAAGCCCTCCCAGGCTTCGTGTGACCCCCCCCTTCTCAGGGAGCCCTGCCAGGTCCTCTCCTGGACATAAGGCTCACCTCTTCAGGCTGGCTCTAGCCCAGCTGGCTCTGGTGACGGCTTCCCCAGGTGGTGTCTGTGGGGGGCTTGTCGTGGCAGTAGGGTCTTGGGCAGCTTCTGTCCCCACTCTCTCGGTGTTTTGCCGCTGCTGTGGTTTCTGGCACAACAATAAAGGGGTTGATGTGTGTGCGAGAGAGCTTCAGGCTAGCACGGGCCAGCGAGGACACCGACACTCAGCCCACCCTGATGCTGTTCAGGCACCAGGTCCTTGGTCAGACGGGAGGGCCAGTCCATCCGTGCAGTCCCAGCACCCAGGTGGCCCCTAGCAGTGAGCGAGATGGCTGGCGATGGGGCAGGAGGGGCAAATGCTGGCTCTGCACACCCATCGCATGCGAGTGAGCATGCGTGGGCATGGGGCAGCTTCCACCCGACAATGGGAAGTTAGTCTAGACAGGCAGCACTGAGGGAATACACTGACAAACGCTGGATTTTCCATCCACCCGCTCACCCCCCCACGCTGAGGCTGCCTGCAGCTGCTGGGCTCCTGCCCTGCGTGGGTGTAAGCCTGACCTTGCATGCAAGGCCCATGCAAACGGGCTGTCGCTGCTGATGGTGCTGGAGTGCTCAGCTCCAGACCTGTCCCAGCAAGGTAAAAGCCGGGGTACATGGCCAGGACCCGGCAACTGCTCTCACAGCCAGAGCTCTGCCCAGGCAGTGCTGGGGGGCAACCCCCTGGCAGCACCCAGGCACTGCACCTTTTGGGGCAACGCTGACTCCCTGGTGACCACAAGCCCCTGTTTCCAGCCCCAACCTGCTCTGTGCTTGCTTCTCCTACACTTTGTGATTCTCCAGACACCCAAGTGCCCACCATGGTAACAGACAGAAGGAACCCAAAGCGTGGAGGCTTTTACCTGTGAAAAAACAGATCCCAGACCCAAATTGCCCCAAAACCACCTTGCAATAATGGTGGCAGACCTGGGCAGGAAATCATGGCCAGAGAGAGGGGGAGAAATACCCCTGGGTGCTCCCCTGATGGGGCAGACCCCACTTGCACCCCAAGCCCATGGTGGTCTGGTGAATACCAGCCTGCACAGCCTCGGTGCTGTGGGCAGCAGCCTCGTCTCTTCCCATTGCCCGGGTGTTTCTCTGCAGCAGCTGAGCTGCAGTTTTGCTGCAGGGCTATTTTTAGCCAGCCCTTAGTAGGTGTAAGGAGCTGCTGCTTGAGCACCAAGAGCCTGGCAGGGAGCCCCCGCTCCCCTGCCAGCCCCAGGGAAGGCTCTGCTATGGGGGTGAGAGCCCAGGATGCTGCCCAAAATGGCCAGGCCAGTGCTGGCACTTGGTGCCTGGGAAGGACAGGGGCTACTGGGGTGGCAGGGATGCTGGTCCACATCCAGAATGAGGCTGTGGCAGAGCTCCTGGCCTCCAGGAACACCTGGTCTGGGGAGCAGGGTGAAACCTGTGGGGCTGGGGAGGGGGACTACTCCAGATCTCATGGGGTGCTGGCAGTCCCAGAGTGGTGATTTCATACGGAAAGATGTGCCACCGCTGGGTTTCCTGTGGCACAAACAGGAAGGGGGCCCTATGCCGGTATCCCCGAGCACATAGATGAGTATCCCCGAGAACATAGATGAGGGAGAGGACGGGCAGGGTGCAGGGGGACCGGGACCTCAAGGTGCCCTTGCCAGGATGCTAGGGAGCAGGTGGCCCATGGCCCAGCGGGGCGAGAGCCAGACACGTGGGGGCTGTGGCCCCACACAAGAGCCCAGAGGGAGGATGGCTTTTCCTGCCTGGCCCCGAGCAGAGCAGAGCCGCCCCACAGCGCAGAGATTGGAAAGGAAACGGGAAGCTGCTGCTGGACCAGAGATTAGCCCGGAGGCGGTGATGTCAGATGGCGCCTCAATGGATGGGGGGCTGGGGGACTGTGGCGTAGGCCCCCCTGTCCTGCCCACACACATCACTGCAGCCCATTTCAGTGATCCAGAGTGAAACATGCCCCATCTGAGTATGTGAACCTATCCCCAGAGTCTCATGCTTTGCATTTCCTGAGCTCATAGATAGGTCTTGTGCAGCTCTCACCCCACCACCCACAGTGGGACTATGGGCCTCTCCAGCAGTCCCTCTCATCTCATGGACTGGCCTTCCTGGAGAGGTCCAGCAGTTTTCCAAGACCAACAGCCCTCATCTTCCACTTCCCACTCCTCCACCAGTCCTCCCAGGGTCTCAGCTCTCTGCTGTACTCCTGCAGACGCTGCAGACTCAGTCCCACATTTCCAGCTGACCAATGTGGACTTTGGTCTCTAAGTAGGAGCCCCGAGTCCCTGTCCTACTCACAAGATATGCTACCACCACCACTGCACACATCCCCCAGCATGACCCAGCATGGGAAGGGCTGAAGGTGCAGCAAAGGCTGTCCCAGGGTGAGGCACAGGCTGATGGCTAGCGATGGATGGATGGATGGATGGATGGATGGATGGATGGATGGATGGATGGATGGATGGATGGATGGACAGGCAGCTGGACATGTGGACACTGAGGGACATTGTCATCATGGGTGCTGCACAGAAAGGGGAAAGATTGAGCAGGCCAATGTGCTGGAAGGATCCAACCCTCACTTTGATCCTCACTTCTTCCAGCCCTTCCCAGCATCTTCATAAAGCCCAACCTCTCAGCCTAAGAGGTGTTTTCTGATCCTGCCCATCTGCCTCCTCTGGGGAGCAGGCAAGACCTTCCTGCTGTGAGAACCTGTAGACACGACAGGGCTCTCTGCTTCAGCCCAAGGAGTCCAACTTCTAAATACCAAGTGCATCAGCAGGTTGGCAGACACCAAAGAGGTCCTGCAGAGGCTTTGAAACCTGCACTCTGGAAAGTGGGCCTATAGGAAGCCCTCAGGAAACAACCCAGCCACAGCACATGTCACGGCTGCCAATGCCCTGCCAGTGACCCAGCACTCTGCTGTGCCCTGCTGCCCTCCAGCATGGCCCCACGCTGGGACGTGTTCCCATGGCTGGGGGATGCCCCAACTTGGGGTGTCCTTCTGGCTGGGCTCTGGGAAGGTGCAGCTCCATTGGGAACCAGGTGTTGGGGCTCAGCAGAGGGGCTTGAGCAGGGTTTTCCCCCCCACCATGGAAACCTAGCCCAAATCCTGGCACTTAGGTGACTGTCGAGGGAGAAGGGAGCCAGGGAGAAGGTTTTCTGCTCCAAACTGTCCCGTCAGCAGCCATCAGGATGTGGGTTGTTGTGGCTGGACCCTGCTCTTGGTCACACTGGGACACCAGATGGGACTGCGACTTCCAACTCTGGGGATGTCCCAGGGTGTATTTTCCACCCTCAGAGGTTTCCCTCCCCAGCACCCCACCTCACTGCTCCTGGCAGCAGGTTCGAGGGTTCTATAGAGATGCTGCAGTGTGCCAAACAGCCGTGGGCCAGGATCTGGCCTCACGCAGGAGCATGCTTCACTGGTGCTAATGCCTCCAGCACGGCAGGATGGAAACGATGGCACACAGGCTGCCACCACGGCTGCCAGCACACTTTACTCTGCCTCTCCAGCTGCTCACCCCACAGACCTCAGCAACCTTCCCATGCACGGTGGTGCTTGGATTGAGCCAAACAGCTTCCTCTAAGAGGCAGAGACGGGAGCTTGGTGGGAGAGCACAGTCCACAGGGCAGGTCCAGAGTGTTCCTACACATCCTGAGGGTCCCCCTGCACCCTGTCTGTGCACCCCCCCCTTATGAAGGTCCATGGGGCCACCCCCATGGTCCCCAGCCCCAGGGATGTGTCACCCCCTGCAACTGGTGGGGAAGAAGGAGGAAGGGGAAAGCTGTGCTGGGCCCGTGCTGAGTTCTGCTTCTGCTTTGTAGGAGCCCGCCCGCGGTAAGGAACAGCCTTTCCACACCTAGCTGCACGCACAGAGACTTGTATGGGGTGGTCCTACCACACCAAGGGCTCCCAGCCCCCCACAATGGCTTTTGAGGGCATCGTTTGAGGCAGGGAAGGACCATCCTGAGTTGAAGCAAGGGGGTTCCCAGGGAGACAGACCCTTGCAGGGCACAATGTGGTTATCAGCTTTGCCATCAGGCACAGAGAAGGACTGAATGTTGTTGTGAGATATCAGCCTCGAACATCCTCTGTGTGCAAGGTTGGGTAAGAGCGGAGCCGGACTAACTGCCAGCACGACTAAGGCTCTTGCGAAAAGCATTGCAGCAGGTCATGAAAGCACAGGCTGCTCGCAGGAAAGAAACCGTCCTGACATCCCCATGCAACCCCAGACCATGTTGCCATCTTGCTCCCTGGCTCATTCCGTGTCCCCCTTGGCACAAGACACTGGCAGTGAGATGGGTGCTGCAACCCCATCAGCACAGGGCTGTTTGGGTTGAGTTTTCACGCAGACAGCCCCAGTGACAGCCCTTCAAA